CACCCTGGGGAGTGCCTGTATTGGATAATTGCTGGGCGGGGGAGCCCTGGGGGTGTATGAGGGGCTGGGAAGCCTTTTTGGGGACAGTCTTGGGAGGGGGGACAGTCTTGTAAGGGTTAATCTCCCCCCCCAGCTGGGGAGAAGTTATGGGCTTGGGCTTCCAGGAGAACTGGAGGAGGTCCTGAGGGGGTGGGGCTGTCTGCAGGGATGCTTTGCCTTAGTGGGAGGCCCTGGGTGTTGGGAGAGGGGCTTTGGGGGTGCAGGGTGAGGTGGAAAAGAGGCTTTTGTCCCGTGGGTGTGGGGCTTCCACCTGGCTGGGCCTTACCCTACACCCATGGGCAAGTGCTGGTGCATTGCAGAGAACATTTACTTTTGGTCCTGGCTAGTGTTTGTGTGAGGGGGTGCCCTCCTGTGAGTTGGGGCAGGCCTGATTGCAGGGGGAATGGTGTTAAGTTGGTCGACCTACAGGCATGTGGTGTTTAAAAAAAAAAGCATCTTTAACAAGCTACAGAGGGTGGGCTCCTGCCTACCTATGTGGTAGATGTGTACACTTGTAAAGTGTGAGGCAGCTTCTGGCTCCTAAGGCCCGGTGGGTGCTGTGGATGAGGACTGGAGGCATTTTGTGGCCTAAGAAGGGGCTGAGGAGCCTCTTCCCGGGGCTGACAATGTGCTGGGTCTGCCTTTTGGGACCCTCATCCTCAGGTCAGCGATGTGCTCGACCTGCATTTCAGCTGCAGCAGAAAGCCGTACCTGAGCTTAAGAGCAAGCTAGGTCTAAAGGTCTGTTATTTCCGTGATGAGTAAAGAGAGTGTGCAAAGCCGTAAGGTTGCACCAGGAAGCTGCCACGGGGCGCGTGCCAGCCGAACACGTCCGGTTGTGTGCAATAGGGACAGGATGCCAGCGATACCGAGCGGCACATGCCGGAGAAGCCAGTTTCCCCTGAGCCGTGCTTTGGCCCTGGCTGTCCTGTCATCTGCAGCACCCTGGCTTGGAAGCAGATTGCTGGCTGGGTCTGAAAGTTAATGTCTTGTGGTTGAGAGGTATCGAAATTCATCCAGTTCCTGGCAGCGTTGGCTGTTCGGGGAGAGGCTGTGGTAGCGGTGGCCCCGTTGGAGGGACGGGGCGGGGAGTTTGGCCAGGAGTTGTGCGATGGCTCGGCTGCTGAGCATGGCTCTCAGTACAATACAGCAAGGGAAGATTACGATGACGATTTGCATTTCAGGGCTGGAGTCTATTAAATTGCTATTTTTAGCAGGTTGTTTCCTACAGTGCATTTGAGCACCGTGTCTAATATTTGCTGCTGTCAAACTGACCTAGTGGCAGTCGGCAGGTCGGTTTGTTCCCCCGCAGTGTTACGTGGGCTTTTCTTTCCGTGATCGAAAGCAACTGTTGCTTGATGAGTCTCTGGGCCTTTGCACCGAATGTCTGTTTTTTAAAAAGGGTAGGTGAAAGAGGGAAGCGTGCGGGTGGCTTTTTTTGTGACGCTGTTAGAAACCCTTCGGCCTGCACGTAGACTCCGTTTGCCCCTGAGGCGGGGGAGACGGGGAAGGGCTGGTGTCACCTCAGTTAAAAGTATTGGGCGGTGAGGGATAATATGGGAAATGTTACTGGGAAGGGAATGCTGTTAAAGGACTCACTGGAAATGTGTTCTCTCTTGTCAGTGGGAGTCGATCTTCGAAAACATTCAAACCCAAGAAGAATATTCCCGAAGGCTCCCATCAGTATGAACTCTTGAAACATGCAGAAGCAACTCTGGGGAGCGGTAACCTTAGACAAGCGGTTATGTTGCCGGAGGGAGAGGACCTTAACGAGTGGATCGCAGTTAACAGTAAGTCCTGCGACAAAGGGATCTGCCCGAGCGTGGAGGTGGAGTGGGAAAACCAAACATCTCTGGTTTTTATCTTTAGAAGAAACTAGAACTTCCCCCAAATGCAATTCTTATCGCAGGCATGCTTCATTTAGGTAACCAAGCTGGGATAAAGGGAAAGTAAGCAGGGTGACGTGCCGTCGGCAGACGGGTCCTGCGTCGAAGGGGTGTTGAGCTCCGGAAGAGTGCAAAAAGCGAGAAACAAACCTGCGCCGTTGTGGTTTCGGAGTGGGGGTTTTTTGAGTTCAGACATGCAAAGGTGCTTAGGTTTGTGAATGGTTATTTTTGTAGTGGGGAGCAAGCCTCGAGCATTGGTATTTGGAATTAGAAAGCTAGCATTGTCAGCTGCAACGATGGTGGCAGGGAATAGTCCAGGGAAAAAGCGGAACCATATTCTCCACTGAGCTCTAGTTTTTGTGGAGTTTCTTTTTTGTTGTGTTTTCATTTTATTATTGCTGCGTGCATGGTACAAATGTATTTTGCTTTTAGCCGTTGCTCTCCCTGGCCTTGAACTTTGTTTCTTTGGAGGTTAGAGGAGAAAGAAGTAGTTCTGAGCAATGGAAAACAGTAAGTCAGGCCAGAAGTGTTCAACTTGAGGAAGGTCTCCTGTATTATCGAAACTTGAGGAAGGTCTCCTGTATTATCGAAACTTGAGGAAGGTCTCCTGTATTATCGAAACTTGAGGAAGGTCTCCTGTATTATCGAAACTTGAGGAAGGTCTCCTGTATTATCAAAATCAATCGGGGTTTTGAGGTACTGTCACTTTTTTAAAGGTGTCTGGGTGTGGAGAGCTAAGCAGCGCTTCATGTCCTACAAATCAGCTAGGGGCAGTAGCTGGAGGCTGAAAAAATGAGAGATTCAAATTCCTAGATGGTTGAAATGTCTCGAAGTCATCGGCCACGTGATGTTGTTTGGAAGGGGGATGTTTGGTTTTGCTGAGAGCTTGGCTCATACGTTCACCCCGACAGGGATCCTCGGAGGCTGCGTGAGCTGAATGAGAGTGAACTGGTGCTCCGGTCTGCTTTGTGTTTGCGCTTTGAGTAAACTCTTGATGCATTTCTTTTCCAGCGGTGGATTTCTTCAACCAAATCAACATGCTGTACGGGACCATTACGGAGTTCTGCACGGAGGCGAGCTGTCCGGTTATGTCTGCAGGACCAAGGTAAGAAGTTTACTGCGGTCTACAGCCGTAATTTAAATGTGGGGAAGTAGGTGGGTGCGTGGGTTGCTCAAACGTGCATAGAAAGAAGCTAAGAAGAGAATGGGACGTGTCCAGATCAGGTTGAGGTGCGGCATCGTGCTCCTCCGCTGTTGTTTACCCGCACACGAAGCCATGCTGTCCGTTAGGGAGTTTCTGTGGCGTTGGTGGCCGTCGGTTTGTCTGATGTGTCGAGTATCTGTCCAGGGGAAACGTGCGTGGGGAATCTTTTTTTTTTTTTTCTTCTGTTCATCCGGGTCCCTACGTTGTTTGGAAGCTGAAAAGATGGGTTGTTGAAATGGTTTGTTTGAAGGAAAATGAGCGATCTAACTTGACTGGAAGCGTCTGGTCTCGCCGTCAAAGGCTTACAGTAACCTCTCGATGTGCCATCTCGCAGAGCCGACGCTCGGAGAGGCCGTAGCGCGTGTGTAGCCAGCTGATGTAGTGTAACTGCTTCGGAGGAGGCCGGGGCATTGTGGAACGTGGAAAGGAAACAGCGAGGCTGCATTTGGGGCGCCTCGTTGGTTTGAGGAGGTGTGAATACCCGTGGGGAGAAGGTTACGTGTTGGTTCTGCGCTTGTCTATTTTGTCAAGGTGAAGCTGCAGCAGGGGATCTCGTTATCTTGTTTGTAAGGTTGGTCGAGGCTCTTTGTTTTTTGGGGTAGCGGCGTGCAGTCTGGCTGGTGGGCAGTGTTAGCAGGGTGCTGTGTAACATCCTGCCCTGCTTTTCTACCCAGAATTATCTAGATTGCAAGTTCCCATTTCTATATTTGGGGACATTTCCTGTAACGACTTCCTGTCGAAATGGCACGGTTTGTTTTCGCTTGTCGTCGGTCAAGAGGCGACAGTCGAAACATTGGGGTTTTCCCCCTGCTTTTGAAGGATTTTGCAAAAGATCGCAGAGAAAGCGGTTTTTGTTGTCGTGTAGCTGTTCCGAGGAGCCACGGGATTGATAAGCATGCGCATCAAGTTGAGACGGCGGCTTCTAAAAGCCTTTGGCTAATGCGCGGCCCCGGGGACAGTCTCTCGGGGAAGTCGGCCATCTCGCATGAGGGGAGAGTGAGCACCAAATTCGTGGAGGCTGGCTGAAGGCCATGGGTGAGTCAATTTAGATGGTGGGCGATGGCCCCGACGCTTCCCCTTCGGCCAGTTTTTGTCTCGCTTTAAGGAAATGTTGATGTCAGAGGAGGTTGCCACAAAGTTGAAGTTCACTTTCGAGGGTCAAACCCTGAGGGCTGCAGCGGTCAGGATGGATGGAGCTGTTAACTCTGACTCTGCTGTGTTGCGCTTGAGAAACCGAGTGTTGCAGCGTCATTCCTTGCCGAGATAAGGAGGAAGCTGCAGGGCCCGAAAATGCAATTTTTCCTCTCAAAGCAGCGAATTTACTTTCCTTCCCTCTCCCCGCAGGTACGAGTACCACTGGGCGGACGGCACCAACATAAAGAAGCCGATCAAGTGCTCGGCTCCAAAGTACATCGATTACTTGATGACGTGGGTGCAGGACCAGCTGGATGACGAAACGCTTTTAGAATATCGGTAAGCGCGAATGCGCGACGCAACGGGGCTTCAGTATGGGACCGAGACGCTGCTGGGATGTCTCGCTTCGGTACTTCTGACCGAACCGAAGGACTTAACCCGTGCACGTTGGTGCGTTTCAGGCGTCCCTTTTCCCAAGAACTTCATGTCGGTGGCCAAGACGATCCTAAAGCGGCTGTTCCGCGTGTACGCCCACATCTACCACCAGCACTTCGATTCCGTCATGCGGCTGCAGGAGGAGGCCCACCTCAACACGTCCTTCAAGCACTTTATCTTCTTTGTGCAGGTGAGTTGCGAAATGGCGGCCGGTCGCCTGCCTCTGGGGTTCTCATTCCCCGTTTGCTTTTCAAGGGAGTTGGATTTTAAGAGCTGCCTCGCTCTTTGAAGATCTACAGCTGTGGTGTGTGCTGGAAGATAGGCTCAGCTCCCACCCTCTGCACCATCCGAACCGTGCAGCTGCGGCGGGTGGGTTTGTCGTGGTGGTTTGGTGCGGTCATTTTTATTTTTTTTTTTTCCAGGAAGTGTGGCTGAATTTGCCTTAAATGCTGGAACTTCCCTCTTGGGTTTTAGCTATCGGCCTACAGCAAAAGAAACCTGGCTCAGCGGAGAATGTGTGGGGTTTTGTAGCTCAAGAGTTGACTTGGAAATAGCAGCAGCCAGCACTTTTTTTTTTTTTTAATTTTATTTTCCTCCCTTGCCAGTATTTTAACAGCCTGTTCTGTGCCTACACGCGGGACTCATCATGCGTGGTACTTCTTGGCGATGCGGCGGAAATAGTTTTTGTTGTGTTGAAACGCTGGAATTTCTCCGCAGAGAAACTGGGGAGGCAGCCGCTGCCGTAATGCCGGTTTGGTGTTCCTCAGGAGCCAGCATGCATTGACATGACGAGTTCCCAGCACGTGTACAGTGGCCGGACGTGTTTTCCAGCAGCGTTTTGAGAGGTGCCTTTAGTTTTTGTGTTCTATCTTTTCTTTTTTTTTTTCTCTCCCCTGCCAGGAATTCAACTTGATCGACCGGCGGGAGTTGGCTCCTCTGCAGGAACTGATTGAGAAGCTGGGCTCCAAGGACAGATAAACTTTCCCTGGGGGGACCCTTCGGCCGCTCCTTTCCGCTTCGTACGCCAGCCACTTCTGCGCTTCGCCTTCAGCAACGCAAGCCCCGAGATGCCAGACGGCGCTCCGAGCGGCATCAGAGGCCAAGCGCCGCTTCCACCGCGCGGCAGCCGCAGACCTGCCTCGTTTCAGGAGTCGCTGGCTGCGCCGCGCCGACTCGCCCCGTGCAGCCCGCTTGGTTTTCTCGGCGACAGTGCTGGAGTCTGGCAAGAGCTGCGGTCTGGCTGAGGATGGGATTCGGAGCAGGTTTTGTTTCCCACGGGCGCGGGGTGAAGTTCAAGTGCTGCGCTGCTGCTTTCGGCTCCCAGAGGCAAAGGTTTCCTCTGGCTCCCACGGACACAGTGCCTGTCTGTCAGCAGCCCAGCAGGGGCCGAGCCCAGGGCGAGAGCAGAGTGGCTCAGCTTATTTTTGGAAGTGCTTTTTTTGGATGAGGTGCACTTAGAGCCTAAGCTCCCCTTTGGCAGCGGCGGAAAAGAAGTGCCTGACCCGAGGGGAGCCTGTCCTGGTGTTCCCAGCGTGGTGGGGGGAGGGACCCTACTTGTGTGGCAAGGCAATAATGATATACTGATAAATAAAGTTTCTCCTTCCTGCTCTTCTTTCAGAGGAAGAAGGGGATGGCTTTCATCTTCCCCCCCGCCCCAGCCCCCCCCTGCCCAGGTGTCTAAATGAAAACACAGCATTTGGGACATTTTTGAGTAGAGGTGGGTGGAAATGATGAGCACAGCTCCCCCCAGGCACCTCTCAAGCCTCTTTATTGACTGTTTGGCATCAAGGTTTGGGGGTGGAGGTGAAGATGCGCAGCCCGTGCATGCTCTTGATCTCCTCGCTCAGTGCCTGCAACAGAGCAGCACCCGCTGTGACACCGGGAGCTGGGGAGCACTGGGGACCCCCCCAGAGCACCCCCTGCTTTTGAGGTGTCACACCCCCAGAGCTACACCACCCGTGGTGACGTGCTGTGCAAGCTTTCGGTGCTACCCAGGCTGGGTACGCGGCGCTGCACACACACAGCCTCGCTGCTTCCTGGGGAGGAAGGGCCGCGCCGGTTTTTAGGGGGAAAGGAGGAAGGGCCGCGCTGGATTTTAGGGGGAAAGGAGGAAGGGCCGTGCTGGCTTTAGGGGGAAAGGAGGAAGGGCCGTGCTGTTTATTACTGGGCAGGGCTACACACTGGGCAGGAGGGGCTGGGAAGGACAGCCAGCCATGCTGGTTGTTACTGGGAAGGGCTATGCTGTTTATTGTTGGAAAGAAGGAAGTGCTACACTATTTATTATTGGGAGGGGAGGGCTACACTTACTGGGGGGAAGGCAGGCAGGGCTACACTGTTTGTTAATGGGAAGGAAGGACTGACGGACAAGCTACACTGTTTATTACTGGGAAGGAAGGAAGGACGGACGGACAAGCTACACTATTATGGGAAGGAAGGCAGGCAGGAAGGGCTACACTATTTGTGATTGGGAAGGACGGACAGGCGGGCTACAGTGCTGCTATTGGGAAGGCAGGAAGGGCTACGCTTTGGGAAGGACAGACGGACAGGCTACGCTAGTATTATTGGGAAGGAGGCAGGAAGGCCTGTACAGTCATTATTGGGCAGGAAGGACAGACGGCTACATTATTACTGGGAAGGACGGACTATGCTGTTTCTTATTGGGAAGGCAGGCAGGAAGGGCTACAGTATTGTTGGGAAGGAAGGACAGACAGCTACACTTGTACTGGGCAGGAAGGGCTACGCTATTTGTTATTGGGATGGAAGGACAGACAGGCTACACTGTTTAGTACTGGGAAGGAAGGCAGTGTTTGCTATTTACTATCGGGAAGGGGGGCAGGAAGGACAGATGGACAGGCTACACTGTTATTCCTGGGAAGGGCTACACTTTTTATTGCTGGGAAGGACGGATGGACAGGCTACGCTCGTATTACTGGGAAGGAAGGTGGGCTACACTTCTTACTGGGCAGGAAGGACAGACCAAGCCCCGCTATTGGGAAGGAAGCACTGCACTTTGGGAAGGGAGGCAGGAAGGGCTACAGTATTTATTGTTGGGAAGGACGGACGGACAGACAGGCTATGCTGTTTATTATTGGGAAGGGAGGCAGGCAGGACTGCAGCACTTATTGTTGGGAAGGACAGACGGGCTATGCTGTTTCTTACTGGGAAGGAAGGAAGCGGGGCAGTGCTATGCTGTTTCCTACTGGGCAGATAGGCTGAAGGAAGGACAGACGGACAGGCTACACTGTTTATTACGGGGACAGACAGAAGGACGGCTGCGCTATCCAGTGTGGGAAGGGCAGCTCTGTTAATTGTTGCTGGGAAGGACGGGCGGTGGGACGGAACACGGGGAAGGAGGGCGGCCACAGGGCTGAGGCCATGCGGCTGAGACCCCCACACTGCGCACGGGGCCAGCGCTTCGCACCCACCCTGCGTGCACAGCACCCCCCGGTCGGGCGCTGCGGGGGCGTGCACAGCCCCGGAGCCCAGCCTGCTGTGCACACACACCCCCCTCGGGTGCTGAGCGCTGTGCGCACACACACCCGCACCCCCTCGGGTGCTGAGCGCCGAGCGCTGTGCGCACGCACACCGCCCCTTGGGTGCTGAGCGCCAAGCGCTGTGTGCACACACCCCCCCCCTCGGGTGCTGAGCGCTGTGCACACACACACCCACACCCCCTCGGGTGCTGAGCGCCGAGCGCTGTGTGCACACACACCCCTTGGGTGCTGAGCGCTGTGCACACACAGTCCTTGCACGCGCAGCTGCGGGATTTACTGGGAAGGGAGAGTGAGGCTGGCTTCTTACTGGGAGGGACGGAAGAGCTGGGCTGGTTTCTTACTGGGAAAGATGGAAGAACTAGGCTAGTTTTTTACCGGGAAGGAAGGAGCTTGGCTAGTTTTTTTTACTGGGGTAGCAAAAAAGAGCTAGGCTGGGTCTTTACTGGGAGGCAGGGAGGGACTGAGGGAAGAGCTAGGCTGGGTCTTTACTGGGAGGGAGGGAAGAGCTAGGCTGGTTTTTACTGGGAGGGAGGGAAGAGCTAGGCTGGTCTTTACTGGGAGGGAGGGAAGAGCCTGGGAGGCAGGGAAGAGCGAGGCTGGTCTTTACTGGGAGGCAGGGAAGAGCCAGGCTGGTCTTTACTGGGAGGCAGGGAAGAGCTACGACGCTCGCCCTGCCTGGCGCAGGCGGTG